GGCATCAGTGGGACCAGGATCACTCTCTGTCTTCTGCCATCCCAGTCCAAAAGTGACTCTCACCACTTCCTCCCTCCTTTGTGTTTCAAAGAACCCACCCGAGTTTCTAAAAGCTTAGATGTCTCCACCTTTGAAGGTAAATGAGAAACAGGATTAAAATTTAAAAAAAAAAATGAAATCCGCACACCTGGAAAAATGCCTGTGCTTTCCACTCACAGAACCCCAGAGGAGATGAAGAAAAAACTTTCGTCTGATGTTCTTTCCCTCATCAAAAGCCCAATTGCCACCTTCACAGAGTGTGTGCATGAAAAAATACAACAAATAAACCCAAACCCAAGATGCTTACTGAGCTACACAGTCTCCTAGCCCAGTGGTTCTCAACCTGTGGGTCATGACCCCCTTGGGGTCGCATATCAGATATTTGCGCTACAATTAATAACAGTAGCAAAACCACAGTTATGAGGTAGCACTGAAATAATTCTATGGTTGGGGAGTCACCACAACGTGATGAACAGTGTTAAAGGGTCGTTGCATTAGGAAGCAATGTTGAGAACCACTGTTCCAGCTAGAGTCAGCAAAGACTAGAAAATCCAATTTGATGGGGAGGTATTGGGATTTGGAGGTGAAGTGTCCCCCTGAGAGAGAGACTCATGCGTCGAAGGCTTGGTCCCCAGTTAGTGTTCCCAGGGGACATTTTGGAAAAGTGACCCACGAGGGCTCTTACCTTACCAGTGAATTAACATGTATGTGGTTGAATTCAGTGGGGCAATGCCTTTGAGGAATAGATCTTGTTACCCTCTGTCTGTCTGTCTATCTGTCTGTCTGTCTGTCTGTGTCTCTCTCTGCTGGCCTCTCTCTCTCTCCCTCTTTATCTCTCTCTCTCTCTCTCTCTCTCTCTCTCTCTCTCTCTCTCTCTTGCCCTCCCTTCCCACCCCCCTCCCTCACTGCACCGAGGGAAGCAGCTTCCTCTACAATGCTACAATGCGCGCTGTCATACCTTAACACAAGCAAGCCCTCAGTGATGCCACTAGCTGACCATGGACTAAATTTCTGAAATTTAAATCTGAGTTTCACGAACCAGAATAGATGTTTGCTCCTTTAAGATGTTTTTCCTCAGCTCTTTTATCGCAGCAATAAAAAAAAAAAATTAACACGGGGAAAGACAGCTTGCAGGGATCAGGGCCTTCTACGCCGGCCAGGTGAGGCGGTGGGCACAGTTGGTGGCCCAGCACGCCAGAGTCCAGCTGTTGTGCCCTGCTATTCCAGGGACAGCACTAATGGCCTGGGAACAGAGGCGCTGCCTCTGTTCTCAGGTCAGCTCTGCTTCCTTCCAGGTAGTCTGCAACCTGGGCCATTCATTGTCACCTTGGTCCCTAAAAAGCTCTTGTTCCTCCACTCTGACTCCTGACTTGGGATCTTGTACTAGCACTACTCTACCTGGCTAACAGACCAGCCACCCAGAGATTTCACTGACTCCTCCTAAGCTGCCACAGGCCATCACCCACTGATTCCTCCAATCCCATCTGCTCCTGCTTAACTGGGGCAATTCCTCTGGTCTTGGCTGAGATGCTGGTGAAACTGGACATCCTCGTGTAAGAGCTCTAGGTGATCTGATGCCCTCTTCTGACCTCCAAGGGCACCTGTGTGCACCTGGTACAGGCAGATAATCTCAGGACCACATACACACATACATACACACACACACACACACACACACACACGTACATAATAAAATTAACAAGTAAATGAAATCTTTAAAACCAGCCAATGGGTACCTGAAGCTCCACTAATCAGCAGGGAAATGCAAATCAAAACCACAGTGAAGTATCCCCTCCCACCCTTACAATGGCCATTATCATAATGACAAGAGACAGAAAGTGACCAAGACCTGAGCAAAGGGACCCTGCCCAGTTGAGGTCTTTCTGCCTCTAAACAAATGCTAGGGTCTTTTCTAAACTGTTCTCTCTGCTTAGCCAGCTCCTCTTCACTTAGTCTCCGCCCCCAGCCTTGGCCAATACAAACCCTAATTATCCTTAACACATTCATTTCATTATCACTTCTGTAGGAAAATCACTCTTCCCCCAGCAAGGCTAGCGTCCTGCTTCTTCCATCATCTGCCAAGCACTGCTAATTGCCTCCCTGTGGCTTCCATGAGTGCAGTGTCTAGTCTGGCTCCCCATTTTTGCAGTAGCAGCAGCCAGCTATAGCATCTGACACACAGCCGATGGGGCTTCCTACAGACTTGCTGAGGGGGGTGGATAAACTTGACACCTCTGGACTCTAGTAACCATGGGCAAGATGCCTTCCCCAGGGCAGAGGAAACATGGAAGCAAACAGAAACCACAGAACGGGAGAGACCGGGGCACAAGGCGCTCTGAGGACAGATTAGTCGGCAACGTGCTCCCAGACGAAATGGTATTTAGGTGGGACATGGGGATGTGGGACTTTGAGCCAGGCCTGCTACCAAGAATGCTGGGGAAGGGGAGAACTGCTAGCGGTCACGCAGCTTTTGCCGTCTATAAAGCCTCATTAAGGTCAATGTATCTGGAGTACTGATTGCTGGACTCCAGCATCCAGCTCAGTGTTTTAACCATTTGTTAACTGACCGAGTGAATGAATGGAGACGGAGCTGTCAGGAGGGCCTGTGCTAAGAGAAAGGCTTCAGTATTGACATCCAAAAGGTTTGATGATCGACAAGGAAGTTAAAGTCCAGTAAAGCAAGCACTTACTGTTTTAATCCCTGGAGAACAAGTATGCTATTTATTAGCTTTAATATACACTTTAAATATACAGCCTTTATGCTGTAAGGGCTCGGGCTGTAGTAGTTATATTGTTTTTATTGTCACTGATAAATGTTCACTTTGGGAACTTAAAAATATTCTTTAAACGGAAAGCAAATGAACCTTTTAATGTGAGACCTCACCCCGGCAGACAGACTGTTTCCACACATTCACACTAATTATGGAAATTGTCAGGCACCAGACGACCGGAAGTAACAGAGCAGGCGCTGTTCCTGGTTTTGTAAAAGAGGAAAACGAGAGTGTGCCTGCAGCCATTCCAGACGAGGCACACAGAGAGGTGAGGGGCAGGCGGCTCTAAGACGATCTGGACCAGCAGAGATGTAAGGAGCCCTGCACGGTGACACAAAGTCATAGCTAAGGGCAGGTCGGATGCCTCCCCCCAGTGAGAGAACTTGGGTGCAAACCTGAGAGCCTAGTTCAACCCGTCACAGAAAGTTGTCTTTTGATCTCCACATATCAGACCTATGGAACCTCTACTGAGTAAGATAGGAGCTGAATCCAGAGCTAGTGAGGTCAGGCAGTGTACAGAAGCCCGTGCAGAATCGACCCCTTTTTCCTAAGCTGGAAGATCCCAGAGAAGCCAGTGCTGGGTTCGTGGCTGGGTGAGACGCGCCGAGCAGACAGATGTGAAAGCCCTTGAGTCCTGCATTGTCCTTCTCTCAGTTCCAGGTTCTAAGCTGTAGGCAGGATCTAAGCAGGAGGCGATGGTAAGGCTTTGAATGTCTCACTAAAGTATCCTTGCCCGTGAGCGCTCTCCTGGTGTGCTTGCTCGTTAAGCTGTCTTGTTGCGGTACCCTGCTGCCGGAGTCCTGGTGCTAAGAGCTGTGGGCATTGAGCACTGGTAAGTACTCAGAGAAGTCCTTGGCTTGCGTTAGTCGTGAGTTGAGGCATCCTGTCCTCCTCCTTCCTGCACTCATCCCAGAGGAGGCCAGGAGAGGCCTCTGTATGTATACCCAGGAAGCGTCTGGGCCACCTTCCTACCCATCACAGGCAGTAGGTACCATGGACTCAGTTTCCTTCCAGGTCGTGACCAATGCACTGATCCCTAACCGCAGACACTGCTGGCTCTGGCCACATGTGCCAGCAGCCACAGCCTCCTCCTATTGGACTTCCAAAGCCTGCCTCATCCTGCCCACTCCAATTTGTTCCCTTTCCCTTATCTCCTCATAGCCCCTTCTGCCATGGATCTGGCTACACCACCGTCCTGCTGCAGTGCCCCTGGAGCATCCTGCTGGGCTCAATGTGCAGCCCCTCACCTTCCTCCTCATGCATCTTCCTTGTCCACATGGTTCATTCCTACTCTCTTGGTGCTAGACTCTCTCAGTTACCACCAGAGACACTGCTTTCATCTGAAGGCCTCTTCCGTTGTCTCATCCTGTCTCTGTGGCTTCTCCTCTCCTAGACCCCATCACCACTCCCCAACCCTCACTCACCCTTGGGGATGCTCTTGGGCTCACCCTACTCTGTACCACCCTAGATGAACATAATTCTTTGCCAAGGCCACTCAGTAAGTACGTGGTTGAGCTGGGATTCTAATCCACTCCTTCCTGTTCCTCATACAGCAAGGCAATTTGGAACAATTATTTATTGGAACAATAATTGAACAATTATTTAGGAAAAAAAGATAAACTCAAGATGGTGGTAGAGTTAGTAAACCTCTTGGAAAGACACCCAAAAATGTGTAAAATGAAAAAAAGCAAGCTACAGAACCATATGTATGTCAACCACAACTACAACTAACCAAATATTCAGGTAAGAAGAATATAGTTCTCTCATATTTTATTTATTATGTAAACAGTATTCTGCCTGCATGTATGCCTGCAGGCCAGAAGAGGGCACCAGATCTAATCATAGACAGTTGCGAGCCACCATGTGGTTGTCTGGGAATTGAACTCAGGACCTCTGGAAGAGCAGTCAGTGCTCTTAACCTCTGAGCTATCCCTCCAGCCCCCAAGCATAGAGAGCAAAGCCTGTATAAATGCAGATTTAGCTGTTGTCATTGGTTGGTGAGCTGTGGACTCGAACATTCTGTAAGGTTTGAGTCTTTATGTAATTTTTATGCTCTAAGAATGTGTCCATGAAGTGTAACACACGAGCCCTCAGGAATCGCCTCCTCAGAGAGGAGTCTTCTGAGGGCTCCCTGTGTCCTGGTCACAGTGAGATGAAAGCAGCTGTGGCCGTCCCGAAAGCCACACTTACCTTTCCCAGGAGCTCAGGTATGCCCAGCAGCTGCCCAACAAACACGCCGATGCAGATGAAGATGGCGGTCACCTGGCCCAGTGAGCCTCGGATCTCCTTGGGTGAGATCTCATTGAGGTACATGGGGAGCGCGCTGAGTGCAATGCCTGCGGGGGAAACACCGCAGTGAGAGAGGCCCTGGCTCACGTGTGGTCACGGGGTGAGCACTTACAGCTGCTGATGTGTCCCCTGCCCATGACACCAAGACCACGGGAGAGCACAGGTCAGTTCACAGTGCTGATAACCGCCATGGGAGAAGACGCAGTATGAGCCACGGTCATGAGCGTGTGTGATACTTTGAATGAGAAATGTCCTCCATAGGCTCCAGCATTTGCACATTTATTCCCCAGTAGGTGGGTGGTGCTCTTTTGGAAGGTTTAGGTGGTGTAGCCTTGCTGGAGGAAGTGCATCACTGGGGGGCAGGCATTGAGATTGCAAAGCCTTGTCTACTTCCAGTGTTCTCTATCCTCTCTCTCTCTCTCTCTCTCAGCTTCCTGTCTCTGCTGCCACACTGGCGGCTGTGCCTCTCCACCAGGATAGACTCTTTCCCCCCCCCTGAAACCATAAGTTGTAATACATTTCGTTTACAAGTCACCTTTGGTCATGGTATTTTTGTCACAGCAACAGAAAAGGAACTAATACAGTGTAGTGTTAACTTCTCTAGCTCACCAGCGCTGTAGGGTGAGAGCAGACAGGAGGGATGGGTAAGCGCGCGTCCACTCTGTATTACAGACACATCTGCACTTTGTATTATGAATGGGAACCGCAGATACTCAGCATGCACACACTGCGATTTGCTTGTAGCTGACCTTTTCCTTAGAGACCAGGAGATGCAGTGGCCTTGTGAACATGTGACCTCCACTGAAGAGATAGCAGTAATGAGAGGAGAGGGTAGAGGCCATAGGAGGGACACCCGGACACTCTGAATCTTGAAGATGAGGCTAATCTCTACCTAGCGGGGCAAGGCTGAACTGTGAATGGTAACTGCCTTCATTCTGATTCTTTGTAAAAAATACGATAGCTGGAGACAGTCCAGAGAAGGGAGATTGTGTGACGTGATGACCTCATGATTTAGGATAAGCCTGTGTTAGAGTCTCTGATGTATCCGGGCTTGCCTGGTACCATCTGTCCAGGCTGACTGGGGCTCAGTAAGTATCCTAAGCAGCCTTGTTCAGTGTCTGACCCTCTCCCCTGCCATCTATTCCCCCTCAATGTGTGAACCTCAGGGCTCAGAGAGCGCTCTAGCCCATTGTGTCCTCAAAGACTGGCCTTGGTTCTTCTGTTTGTTTTGAACCTTCCATTCTCAGAGATCCTAAGTCGATTCCCACCTATGCTTCCTGTTTCAGTTCAACATCACCTACGGTAGGAGATGGATTTGTATCTTCCAAATCATGGTCGGTCTCTAGCCTCTATTACTCATGGCTGACATTATCTAGCGATAGGGTCTTTACCAATATCATTATACCTAGATGAGGTGATAATGGATAATATGTTGTTAAAAACATTAATTATTTCTGAAACTTTCCATATTGTTAGCAACAGGAACCATGGAGGTTCTACTTGTAGCTGTCATGGCTTGTGTTCCGGGAACTCCCACTGTGGCTAATGGGAAATTGTACCACAGGGAATGTGGGCAGCTCTGGGAAGGTCATGCTTGGGCCGTGTCCAGTTCAATCTTCCACCAATGCAAAATTCCTGCTTTAAATTCTGTGGTCTATGTGAATTTGTCTCCAGTGCTGTATTGAATCATAATTATTTCTATATAAAATAGTAGTATGTTGTTTCTCTAAATCTCCTAGGGAAAAAAATCAAAGAAGTCCTACATTTCTAACCTGATTCAAATGCTCCCCGAGAAACTAGGCAGACAGTCTTGCTAATAGATCATTCTAGAATGTTCAGGACTATCGATGGCTTTAAATTCTTTGCTTTGTTTTGAAGTAGAGTCTCAGATAGACCAGGCTGGCCTTGAACTCATTGGGCAGTGGAGCCTGTCAAAAATGACCTCAAACTTCTGCTCTTTCTGCTTCCTTCTCCCAGGTGGGTTGTACCACTCCATGTGGTTTTACACGGTGCTGGGTTGTGTTTCATGAACACTAGACAAGCACTCCACCCACTGAGTTGTGTCCCCAGCCCTGGCTTTAAATTCTTTATTATAAGCACACAGCCGCTCTAATCCAGGTCTCATAGTTTCCCTCTCCTCCCTTACCTTAAACGTCCTCGTTCTGCTCCCTGTGCTCTAAGGGTTTGGGAGAAGAGATGGCATGACATCCCCGGGGCTTGGCACAGCTCCAGGAGGCTGTGTTCCAGAAGCCAGGGTGTGTTTTAAAAGTTCCCCTATTCTTCCTTGTCTTTTGCTTCTTTTCTGAACAGTTCACAGGAAAAGGGGCCTAAAAGGCATTTGTGTTGAGTCTGTGGCTGTGGAGATTCGGAGAGCCACAAGTGCAGCAGGCTTCTGCGAGGCGGGCAGAGCCGAGGAGAAAGCGGCTGATAAAATATTAAAGCCCCCAGAGAGAGGCGAGCAGGGGCCTCATTGGTGAGGCTGTCAAGCAACCTTCTTCTATTTTGCTTCTAATCCTGGATCTGCCCCTTACAAGCTTAGCATCAAGCATGCTGCAGCAGCGCTCAGGACGAGAATATCCCCCTCCATGCCTGTGGCAGAGGCAGGCAGGCTTGGCTTCTGCTGGACTGAGCACTTTACACAATGGATAATTCTGGCATCGTCCAACCAGGGCAGGCTTGCTATTTGGTCCCTCTAGGGAGCAGCAGGGGGAGACTCAGCCAGTTAGGAAGGCTACCGTGCTTGTCCCCACTGCAGGCACATCCCCAGCTGGACCTCTGTCTGCTCTTAGCATGGGCCTTGCTTTGGCCAGCGTGACTGTGGCTAATGTGCTGCACAGTATTTGCACGTGAAGGCTTCCTCCTCCGGCTGTGCTCTGGAACCCGTGGAATTCCGTGAGAAGAAACCCCACTCTGTTGGGTGAGACCCCTCTACTCATGGATTCTATCTCAAGTGAGAAAGAGAACCCAAACTGAGCCGACAAGTTTGAGAGTACACAACGCAGGTCGATGGGCTGGCTTGTCGGGTAAAGGTGATTACCGCCAACCAAGCCTTCTGACCTGAGTTCGATTCCTGGAAGCTACATGATGGAGAGTGAGAATCTAATCCTGCAAGCCACTCTCTGGCTCCCACATATACACACTGGCAAAAATCAATAAAAGTAATTTTAAAATATTGAGAATATCAAACACTTGGAGCTGACTGGTCACACTGAGGCTTAGAAACTTTGCTCAGAGATCTGCAGGTTTAGGGGAAAACCGGTTTGTTTTGACAACAGCTTGAATCTGTAAACCTCACTCCCTGGGCAGAATCTGGCCATTCTTCTCTGCCTGCCCTACCACACAGTCTTGCCCAAGTCACATAGGCTGTCCCTGGTTCTCCTGAGCCCACTCCTGGATCCACCTTGTATTTCATACCCAAGTGCCCAAGAGGTGGCCTTGACTCAGAAAGCAGTCTGTGCCCTCCCCTCTCAGTCCTTTCTGGCTTCCTCTCATACTCGGCACTAACACTGGGTCCTAGCTGTGGGCTGCGCGGTCTGGTTCCGGCTACCTTTCATCCTCAGTTCCCACAGTCTCCTCCTCTCCAGGCTCCAGCCTTCTTGCCCCCCCCCCTCATCCTCAGAAATGTGGATCACCTTCCTCATCAGGTCCACAGCACTCCCGTCTCTGCTGAGAGCCCGGTTCCTCAGATTTTCACTCAGTTCTCAGTCTCGGTTCATTATGGTCTCTGCTCACCTTTACCGGTCCTTCTAACTGGCTTTCCTAAAAAAACAAAAACCTCCTTGCTAGCCTGCCTTCTGCCCTGCCTTGTTTGCTTCCTAGGACTTGGGCATAATTAGATGCCTTCTACGCCAATGGCAGCATTCTCCCCAGCACACAACACATGGGGCATAGCCAGTGGTCTAACACTTGTTGAATGAACAGGAGACTGAATGGTCAGAAGCTCAGAAGCCTTGGGCGAGCCGCAGCTTCCCACCTAGACTATGGACTTTATAAAGAAGGCAGCAGACACACTGTAAAACATCCGGGGCTTTGGCAGTGACTCAGCTCTACCTAGCCTGGTTTTGTTCAGCTGGATGCTATAACACTGTGTAGAGGGGACATTTAGGTACTAAGTAGGGTTCCAGAATCTTGGTCTCTTCCAAGTCGGTCAGAGCTCCAAGCACCTCTCCCTATTCCAGACAAGCCCTGGGAGTGCCTTCCTCCCCAGCTGGCCTGAAGTCTCACCTCCATCCACGCCCATGACGAAACGTCCTACAATGAGCATTTCAAAGGCTCCTGACTGGAGTGAGCAGGCCATTAACAATGATGCCAAGATTGCAAATCCATTATTGGCCAGCAGCGTGTACTTCCTGGAAGGAAAAGTGGTTTGATGAGGACAATGCATCATGAGGCATGTGTAGGTGGTGTCTTGTCCATCCCCCCAAACAGAGACGCCCGTCCCATCAGCAGGGTAATCGCGTGAGATTTGGGTGGTGAAATAAGCATGAACTTGGGAATTAGGGTCGTGGATCACCCCCACTCTTGGCTGTCTGACCTCGAGCCTGGCATCCACTCCCTGTTTCTCTGTTCACGATGGGGTAGACAGGGGGCACTGTCAAGTAGAAAGCTATGGATTCCTTGTGGAAGGATTTCTTTGCGCCAATTCTGAGTTTCATTTGGCCTTTATCAAGATAAGGTGTAAGTCACAATGCAGGAGCCGGGCTAAGCGGAAAGGCAGAAGCCACTCAGTATTCCGGTGGAAAGATGTTAGCATGGGGCGTTGGAGAACCGTGTTAGAAGAGTGATTTATGTAAAGATTCTCTGAAAAGGGGGGCGCCCCTCTGGGGTGCTAGTGCCTTAGAGGCTCAGGAGGGGATCCCTGAAGAGCTGACTCAGAGTGGTACAGCTCACTGGTCCTACCTCTCTGATGGGCACTTAGTTTGCCTCTCGGGATTGGACAAAAGCTGGAAGCTAGAATCAGTGGCCAAGGAAAGTCAGGCAAACAGATACAGGCTGGAAGCGTGGTGTCCAGACAACAGCTGAACAGTTCTGCATGGCCTCCTACAGTTCTAGCTGATGGACCCTCTGTTTCTCTTCTCTCTCTTCCCTCCTCCCTCTCTTCCTCTCTCCCTTTCTCCCAACCTCCTTTCCTTCCTCCCTCCTTTCCTCTCTCTCAATAAAACAATCATATCTCTTAATACTCTATAGGCACCTTAGATCTAATGAACTACAGATATAAAGCTGGGTTGGGACCATCAAAGAGCCAGACAAATTCCCCTGACAATAATTACTCTTACTGCTATGTGTCGGGATAGCTGTCTGTTTCAAGAATGTGTCCCTAAGCCCTCACAGTGGAGATTCCTGCTTTCCTTGGGGGCGGGGAGCTGGATTCTGCAATGGCTCTGTCTTTGAGGAGTGAGGAGGCTGTGTTTTCTTTTCCTCGCCTGCAGAACCAACGCAGCAGCTCCCATGTGTTCAAGTCTTGATGCGTGACAGGCTCTAAGACGAGCACCAGATATGACAGAGGCGGGGGCTCTTTCATGCTTATGTCGTACCAAGTTAACCAGGACGCTGACAAGTTAGGAAGGTGAAGAGTTTAGGAAGTACCCTCTCTTCGCACCTCCCCAACAACAACAGCAACATCCACTAGGTAAATTAAGAAGCCTCATATTGTTTTGTAATTTATGAGAAGCAAAGGGTTTTCGAAGGAGAATGAGTATTCCCTTTAACAGTTAGATTTCTTGAGCTGCAGGACAACTGTCTCTGCGACTTCTGCCGCATCTAAGCATTTGAGTGAAGTTTCCTCCGTTTCTGAATCTTCCTGGACAATCTCACAGTCACTGGCTTTTGCATCTGTGGCAGTGGTACCAAGATATTCCCAGCAGCATCCTACAGCAGCAGATGGTTGGAACGGCCCAAGTGTCTACTAACAGTAAACTAAGTTGTAGTCCGTACACATGGGCACTGTGCCAGCATCAAATCAGAAGTGGTTTGCCTACAAACCACAATCCCAGAAAACTTGGACAACAATACGGACACTAAGAAAGACTTACATAGATCTAATCTACATGGGAAGTAGAAAGTAGAAAGAGGCAAAGTCTCTTAAGTAAATTGGGAGCATGGGGACCTTGGGGGAAGGGTTGAAGCGGGGAGAGGAGAAGCAGGGAGGGGAGTAGAGAAAAATGTAGAGCTCAATAAATATCATGGAAAAAAAGGAGTGGCTTCTATACGCTGTGGTAGGAAGAGAGAAAGGCCAAAGTGCAGAGTTTGGTGTAAACCATGCAGCGATCTGTGCGGAAAAAGATGTGTGACTATGTAATTGTATGAGTGCGTGCATGTGCTATGTGCATGTGTGTACTTGTGTGTTTATCTTTGTATGTGTGTCAGTTAGGCAAGAACCTTGGAGAGACACCCAAACTTGTAGCACTGGGTGTCTCCAGAAAGGACTGAGGGAGTGGAGGGCAAACGTTAAAAGGGAACCCTGACCTTTGTGCCCATTGAGTCCTTTAGAAATCAAAGCCACATGGATGTGTTAATTAGCCAAAAATGATGGGATTTAATATTTTAAAATCTAATTTAAACAGACCTTAGTAGGGAAAAACAGTTATGTTTGTGATATGCCAAGATGGCTAAACATGCTTAGCGGGTGTGGAGTGTACATGGTGTGGATACGCTATATGAAGGGGCAGTTTGTGTCCCAGGACAGAGTTGGACAGTGTGAGGTTCATTTCTCTACTCAGAACAGCAATTAATCTAAAACTTATCCACTGTTTGTTTCTGGAATTTTCCACTTAATATTTCTCAATACAGCTGACTTCAAGTAACTGTAATCAAGGAAAGTAAAATTCCAGACAAGAGAGGCTAGTGTGTGTGGACAGGACAGTGTCTGTTGTTTGCCTGTTTCTTCTCCATCCTTCCTCCTTTCTCTGCCTTGCTGCAGGATTGGTGTGAAAGGCCTGCCAAGGAAGGGTGGAGAAGGACACTTACAGGGTCCCTATCACACTCTCTGTTCGCATTACTGAGTGTGCATCTCCCCTAGGGACCCAGCTGTGCTCCCAGTAACTGTGCCCTGCAGTGTGTGGCCCTGGCCTTTGGACTCTAGGAAGGCTGCCTCTCCATTTTGACTTTCCATCCCAGGGATGGGAGACACTCAGATGAAAAAGGGGGAAAAAATTCTGGCAAACACAATTCTCTCCTTGTAACTTCCATGTACAATCCCTGTTTTGGCCCTTCGGACCTCACAGGCCCAACCCTTTTGGTAGAGTCTCATTAGGGAGAGTTGTCAAGGGTGATGGAGGGAGAGGAACGCTGAGGCTAGACACGGTGCTCTCTGATCTGGCCAAGACAGTGTGTGCTCATCCCGTGGACAGAGAAATAAGAAGCCTGATTAGAAATTAAACCCAGCTCACTCACAGGCATCTCTCCATGGCATCAGCACCGTTAAGGTGGGTGTTCTATCTGGAGGATGTGAGAGAGAAAGCTGTGGAATAGGTCTTCCGTGAGTGGTTCTCAAGCCTGGCTGCTCCTCGGGCTCACCAATAGCGTTTACACCTGATGTGTGGTGAGCGGTGTGTGCTCAGGAATGTGTGGTTAGCCAGTGACATCGTAGGCGACGTGGAGAGCCCTGAGTGTGAACTAAGTGTCTCTGCGCCTCCTGCTGGTGACCCTTTCAGCCACCCTTTCAAAACCGGCATGATGTGCGGCTATCATAATGGCGCTACCTAACAAACCCGAGCTTCACTATGCAGCCTTAAACACTGTATATTTACTGTATACGTCACCTTGTGAGTTATATAATAGGGTGTGGTGTTTTATTTGTGTTTATGTCTGTGCACTGCATAAGTGCCTGCTGCCCGCATAGTCCAGAAGAGGGCATCAGATCCTCTGGAGCTGGAGTTATACACAGTTGTGAGCCACCATGCAGGTGCTGGAAGTTGGAGCCAGGTTCTCTGAAAGAGCAAGGAATGGTCCTAACCACGGAGCCCTCCTTCCAGCTTCAAGTTGGACAATCTTGAGAAAACAGACCTGCAAGCACCTTAGTCAAGACCATACTGGAAGATCTAGCACCCCAGAGACCATGATACAATCTGCCTGCACGTTTAGCTGTCATAGGCACTCATGCACATTTATTCCCTCTGCAAACATCCATTCATTCAACACAGAACTGAGTGCGGGGCGCTAGTCTAGATTCTGGCTTATAGGACAAACACAGTGACATCTTTATTCTAAAGTCTTCCCAAAAAACAACACAGAACATGTCACATGCCAGCGTGGGCCGATGCTGTCAAAACAGCTGAAGCAGGGAAGGGGGTATCGTTTTGCACAGAGTGGACCAGGAAGTGTGCATGAGAGTGAAGGTGTGATGGAGGGATGGTTAGCTAGCCAGGAACAGCCAGACATCTTTGAGGTCAGTATAATTGGAGACAGTGGTGGACCAGGGAGGCAGCAGCAGAAAGTGGGCAGGTAGAGAGGAGTGACAGACGTGTTCCTGGGGAGTGCGCCTGGGACACCGGGAGGTGTGAGGTTTCCACCCCTGGTGAAGGAGGTAGCCACAGATGACAAAGAAAAGATCAACTTGGCTTCGGAGCAGTTCCTGGCCAGGAGGGGGCAGCGTGGAGTCAGAAGGTCATTGGAGGAGCTACCACAGGAGTGTGAGCAACGCTGGCTAGGCTGACAGCAAGGTAGGCTGTGAGAAGCAGCAAGATCCCAGCATATGTTCAGGACAGACCCGCTGGGCTTCGCTGCTGGGCAGACAGAGGTGAAGGGCAAGGAAAAGGCCAAGATGTCTTCTGAGGTTCTAGCCTAAACCTCTGCACTGTGCCCTGCAGCGTCTTTGGTGCCTTGCAGGAAATGTTAGTCACTTCTGAGTCAGACAGGAAGCGTTTGCAAACAGGGACACACCCCCTCTAGCAACTTCATCATATTAAATCTTCCTTCCCAAAATAGCCCCGGCCTGACAGCCTCCCAGAGAGGATAGAAACCTTATTCGCAAATAATTCTCAAAGCTGACTCCCTGGGGCTCCGAGGCAGGCTTTAATCATCGTGTTCCCATTTTCACCCGAGGATGAACATAGCAGCACAAACAAGGGGCATCAGTTTCGAGAGCAGAATCCAAGAGTCCCCTGCAACTCCGCCCATGGTGCCTGATTCACTGCTGAATGCTTCTTCAACAGTGTCTGCTCTTCCCTGTGTGACTCAGAAGATCCCTAGCTCTCGGGCGGAGAGAAGTGAGAGGTGGTGGGAGGTGATGGGCAGCGGGTCCTTGAGAAAGGTTCAGCGTGAGGAGACTTGAACTGGAAAAGGGAAGGTGAGGGAAAGCCCGAGAGCCGCCTTCTACAGGTTCAGCCTTTACAGGCTCGGGTTTTGTGGG